ACCCCCCCCCCCCGGTGTTTTGGATTGCTCTATTTTGACGACGAAGAATTTGAAAGCGAACGAACTGAGTAGATGCACCCGTTTTACCATCCTCAGTACTTGTTACCCCAATTATGAAACGACCTGCCCATTAAATATCTAGCAGGCTGTGTCCGTTTCAGGTACTTTACCTATTCCGGTACCCAAACTTGGTATACATAATTCCCATCATCAAACAACACCTGCTTTATGATCACGAAGCGAGTATATGCTAATAAGTTCACTGGTACTAATGTTTACAACCGATGACTGACCTAGTAGAGTTCATACACNGTAGTGTACCAACTCAGAGAATCCAACTTTCTCCGCCTGTGTCTTCCAGAGCATTGCTCTTATTTATTGACGGATGAAACTCGCACACTACACTGCCGTCGTCCGACAGGTGGAATCTTGTAAGGCGATTGCCGGTCAAGCGAAAACCCCTCAGGCACTACCGCTGATCGTCCGTTGCCATTTATATATTATATTATATATATATATATTCATGATTAACCACCTAGGTGTCTGTTCTTCCATCCGCGACCTGGCGACGCGCTCGGTAGCTTTCAGCTTTGCTTCTATCACTATCTAGTACTCAGCCAAGTGCAATGTGTAGAACAACAGGCCAATAGCCTTCATCTTATTTGTTGGCTATCCAAACTNAGAGATGACTTGTCAGACAAAAACTCATCATGTACTCATGCATTGTCGTTGAACATCCGCATCCGCGTATTCAGTGAAACAATGCTCAATCGTTTGCGGTTAAGAACCTACTGGCGACCTGGAGACGCTCCTCTTTATCGTACAGTCCAGTTGAACATAAACTTGAAGCATCATACAGCCTTGGGCGTTATCGTTGTGTTTCTGAGTCAATTTTTGATACGGATAGCTGTGACGAAATGCTAGTATATAGATAGACCATATAAATTGTGCCACTGTAACACTGTGCACACAAGGTGAAGGCTTCCCCCTCGTGTTTATCCTCACTGAGTTGATTTGATTATCTCATTACTTCACTTTGAGGAGTTTACCCAAACGTATGACCAATACATTTGCCGAAAAGAAAACATTAATTGTTGCTCACCCATCCTACCGATCCCCCCCCCNCTCCCCAGGCCACTCGATATAACTACAACTCGGACGAACGATTTGCCATGATCGAGGTGATCAGTATGATCAAATCAGTACAGACGCAATTGCTTCGTCTGGAGGCCTACTATTCGGAAGCAATTCGTCGCTCGGTCTACCGGGAATTGCAAACGATCGTGATCGGCCAACTAAGCGGACCGTTGATCAAGGCACAGAAGAAAAAGGATCGAATCAATTTGGTCCGGTTAATTTACGCGATTCAAGCAACTTGTGCCGATCAGGTACGTGTGTGTGTGTGTCTGTGTTCATTCTGTACCTCGCGGAGATTTGAGCACCTGACTAACTAACTCAGTTCCTTTTTATTTGTCCCAGCCTGTAATCTGTTCCGGTTTTTGTGTGTGTGTGTGTGGTATATTGCTATTGTCGCTGTAGCACTTCTACTCTACTCTAACAGCTATCGATATTGGTTTTTTATTTTTTTCCACTATCCATATCCAGATTCTTGAACAAATCGATGCAGACACCGGAGGTGCTGGTGGTACCCACTCGAAATCATGGAGCCGTTCAGCCGCCTCGCGTTTCGTTCATTCCAATCAGGGTAGTCTAACCACCGGATCGAATTCCACATTGGCCCAAGTGGCTGCATCCCTCGGTCACGATAGTGGAAGTGTGGGCAGTGGGAGTGCGTTTGATTTGAACAAGCGTCGTGTCGGCCCATCGTCCAGTCAGCTGTATCTGGTACGTACCATGCTAGAACTGATGGTAGACCAGACTGCATCCGGTCGGCATGTGATGCGCAAAGATTTGGACTCAGCCACATTGACTGCGATCGAGACTTTCCTCAAGAACAGTTTCTATTGGCCGTATCTGTTGAATTTTAGTGGTAAGCTTGTCTATCCTCTGTGTATGTGTCTACCCCCGTGTGCATGCATGTGGCAGTTATAGCTTGCGCAATCAACAAATATAATGACAATAAAAGCGTTCATTGACAACTGGTATTACAGGCCATCTGAACGCTACCATCTGCTCGTAACATTCATTCTGCTGAATTTTCTAACTTATCAATACAACTGTTTTTCGCCATACGTCAATCCAACTACATCAGATCAACCCTAAATTATCTGTTTTACGTCAGGATACACTTTCGTGTACCGGTTTCTCGTTCGCTTTTTCACATCCACGTTAAATCGTTGCTCTGTGAGGCACCTCTTGTCAAAAAAACAGAACTGGAATGAAATTGAAGATTATTTTTCTGCGTTTGAATAAAACAACTTGACGCGAATGAAAATATGCATCTAATTACTGAGCTTGAGGTGTGAACGCTGTTCAGAGATAAATAAACAGTTATAGGCATAATAAAGTGAGTGCTTTTTCATTTTGGTTGATGTTATAGTCTGCCGTACTTGTTGCTATGCAATTCGCATATATGGTACTTTGCTGGTCTTTGATCGAATATACGCACCCCGAGGTCAATAGCAATATCAGAAGATAGTCAGAACGTCTCGGATTCTTGTCTTTAGTAATTCTATAATTATAAAACAATACGTTAACATACGGTATGGCAAACAACAAGGTTGAAATCGAAGGGAAACGTACATTCGAATTAGTTTGACCAGCAGTCCAACAACGGCACCAATGCGTGGTGGTCAGTGCAAAACGGTGAGCAGACCAAGATGGTCGGCGGCCAAGACAGACAGATTACGGTCAACCAATAGGAAAGCACGAAACAGGGAAGATTGTCCGTATACAGTTTGCCTACTGACAACAGTCAACAGTAGCGATGAAACAATCAACGATGCACGGAATGTCACCGTACTATTCACTGCACCCCTGACGGAGTAATAGGTAAACTTGTGGGCACATCCTTCTAAGCCCTCAACTGAATAATCTGATCCACAAGGCAGCGGAGCGATATTTTAAATCCACAATCCATTAGGGTCCGATTGTTCGAATCATCATAGACACTTCGGACGCGGCTCTCGTCCTTCACATAGAGCCGGTCGTAGGAGCCCGGGGAGCAGTTTATACCTATCTTCATGAGCGGTTTGGATGTTTCCCGAAACGCCAACGTCACATTCCCCCCCCCCCCC